GAGAGAGAGAGAGAGAGAGGCATCAGGAGGAGAAGACAGGTCAGTCAAGGGAACCCGAGTCGCAGGGTCGCAGACTCAGCCAACATCAAGGGGAGGCCCACGCCCCCACCTACCCTGTACTCGGAGCCAGAGCGGAGGAGAAACAAAGGAGAAGGGAGAGGGAGAAGGAGAGAAAGCAAGACAGTGAAGGGGGGGGGGGAGACATACACCTGGCAAAGAGGCGCCATGCAGCGGTCGGAAAGCTCGTCCGGAGGCCAGTGCGCGCGTGTCGGTCCCGCTGACACCTCAACCAAGGCGGTCGACTCGTAGGCTGGCTTGTAGCCGACATTGGTCGGGCGACCGGTCAGCGGGAGAACCACAGCACGCTCGGCTCGCTGCAGGACCGACTGTGTGATGGAGGCTGTCAGCTCCTGGAGGATGATGTCGGTCGATGGGGACCCCACCCGTGAGGAGCCCCCACTGCTGGGGAAGATCATGGCCCCGGGGAAGTATTCCATGTGAATCAGGTCATCCTCGTCATCATGCTCCTCGCCGAAGGAAGCCCCCTCGCCGGGCCGCAGGGCCCCGGCAGGAGCATCCGGCCCGAGAGGCGACTCGAAGGAAGTCCCCGCGTGCGTTGGAGAGGCGCCATCGAGCGCGCCACCGGCATCGTCAGGGGGTCTGGCCACCGAGCTGGTGGTCGAGTGATCGCGGCTGCTGGACGATCGAGGAGTGGTGCTCTGGCCGGCCAGGGGCAAGCCATCTTGGCGCATTTGGTCTGGCGCAAGAGGTTGGCCGCCAGCACTGACGCCGCGGCCGATGGAAAAGAAGTCCTCCTCATCACTGTGAAAGGGACTCGCGTCAGGGGGCCCATACTCGTCCGGGTGCGTCGGCGTTTCGGGCACATGGCGACTGAGGACCGGGAATTGCATGTCGGAACCGGGGCTACCGCGCATGGCGGCCGCGGTGGCCGCATCTGCCGCGCGGATGGCCGCCCGCGCCAGCATATTCAAGTACTGGGGGCTTGCCTCGGCACTGGGAGAAGCCAGACGCCGGTCGGCAGCGAGGTCGACCAGGAGTTCGGTGGCCAGCTCCGCGACTTGAGACTCGGCCTGGGCCTGGGACCCGGGCTCGCCCGGGGGGGAGGCTGGCCTGGCCGGCGGCGGGTTCAGCATCCCGACAGCCGGGTCGCCCGGCGGACAAGGCCCCTGTGAGCTGGCCATCAATTCGACGGAGGAGCAGAAGGACAGCGAGTGGCAGTAGCCCCGGGTGTGTGCGTGCGCACGAGAGAGGGAGAGAGGGAGAGGGAGAAAAGGACGGGGGGAGAGACCGGGGAGAAAAACCGGACAGGAGACGAGTGGCAAGGGGAGGGAGAGGGGAGAGGCGGAGGGGTGGCGAGAGGCAAGGAGGCAGACAGAGGGAGGGAAGGACAAAACCGACTGGGCGGAGGGAGGAGAGGGAGAGGGGTGTGCCTGGACAAGGTCTTCGTTCAACGGGGGCCCGGCCGGGGGCGCTTGAAAGGTCCCACCTGGTGAGGGCGCGGGAGTGCATCCCGATGGCAAGGGCCAAGGGGCGAGAAGGGGAGGGAGGGCCAGAGAGAGAGAGAGGGAGAGAGAAAGAAAGAAAGAGACAAATGGAGAGCCCGAAGCCCCAAGTGACTATGCCCCAAAATTGCGCCGGGCGAATCGCCGCGACCGTGAAGCCCGAACGGAAGTGAACGGGATGGAGGGGGGGGGGGAGAACATTGAAGGGGAGGCTGGCTGCTCGCAAGCCAGCCCGCCGGACCACCCAGGGGGTGATATCGCGCGCGCGCGCGCTCCCGAAACAGGATCGTCCCGCTTGTGTGACCTCTCTGGGAGGGAGAGATCTAAAAAGTAAATAAAACTCACTCGTCACCCCGCGTCCAGGCCCGGGGAAGTCGGCCGTACTGCCTTTGGTGGGTACACCGGCCCCCCTTTTTCTCGCCCGCCCGACCGCGACCCGGCGCCCTCCCCCGAACCCGAGGGGCGGGCCACGCACTGGGCTCCCACCGGAGCCCCCACTCTGGAGGATTCAAATGGTATGCTGGAATGTGCTCCAGAAGCAGATTCCCCATGTTGGACTGTGATATCCCGAGTGCTGGAGGATCCGACATCATAGAGTGGTGCTCCCTGGTGTGTGCTCCCTGTGCCTTGGGGGGGGGGGGGGG